CGCGGGGTGTCCCGGCGGGTGTCGTCGTGTCCCCTCTCCCCCCCGTTGCCTCCCGGCGGCTCACGGCATGTCCCCGGTGCCCCCCGGTGCATCCCGGCTGTCGCCGCCGCACGTCCCCGCTGTCCCCGGGCTGTTGTCCCCAGATCATCCCGTGCGCCCCCAGCACATCCCGCCTGTCCCCGGTGTGTCCCCAGTGTGTCCCCGGTGTGTCCCCACCGTCCCCTGCTCTCCCCGCTGTGTCCTGGCTGCCCCTGCCGTGTCCCCCCCTGTCCTCCCCTCAGGTCCCTGCTCTGTCCCCGCTGCATCCCGGTTGTCCCTCGTGTGTCCCCGCTGCACCTTGGCCATCCCCAGTGTCCCCGCTGCATTCTAGCGTGTCCCCAGTGTCTCTCCAGTGTCCCCACTGCATCCTGGCTGTCCCTGGCGCGTCCCTAGTGAGTCCCAGGTGTCCTCGATGTTTCTCCAGCACATCCCGTTTGTACCCAGCGCGTCCTGGCTGTCCCCAGGATGTCCTCGCTGTCCCCAGAGCATCCTCGCTGTCCCCAGAGCATCCTCGCTGTCGCTGGGCTGTCCCCAGCATGTCCCGGCTGCCCCAAGAGCAGCCCAGCAGGGCTGGGGACACTGGGGGCTGTCACCCCACGTCCCTGGGCTCAGGGTGGGGACCCTGGTGTGGGGCAGGACAAGGCCCCCCGTTCCCTGCCGCGCTGGCGTGACCACAGCCGCGCGCTCTGGGCATGTGCCGTGTCCCTGCGGTGCCTGGGGCGGCGGGTACGAGTAACCGGGGGGGCTGGGGAGGGGGACACAAGCTCCCAGTGTCCCTGGCTCGGCTGGAGCTGCGTCCCCCTCCCCACGGGGACCCTCGCGCTGCCCCCGCGGGGCCCCGTGCTGGGGGAGGGGACGGTCGCGCCATCTCCATCTGTCGGGGCCCCCCTGGCCGTCCCCCGCCGGTGGGGCCTGTGGGGGCCGCGGGCTGCTCTTCCCCTCCAGACGGAGCCTCACTTCCCCCCGTGACGCAGCCGGAGCCACCGGCCCCGGGGCCGCTTCCTGCGCCGGGGGCAGCGTGAGGGGGGGGGCCCATGCACCCACGGGCCGCCGGGCCAAGGGGCTGCTGGGGGACGGGGGTGGCACGTGTGAGGTCTGGCCACGCGCGCCGGTGAGAGCGCACGGTGCTGCGGTGCCCGGTGCCACCAGGGTCCCGGGGTGCGTGGCCAAGGTCACACAGCCCGTCGGGTTGGGGGGTGGATGGCTGGGGGCTTGGTGGGGATGTGGGGAGCCCCTGTCCCCACATGGTGGGGATGTGGGGAGCCCCAGAGCCCCTCTCCGTGGCCGTCCCTGCGGTGCCAAGCGGGGCCGTGGATACCAGCACCCCGGTTATTTTTTGCCGCTCTCGTTGCGTTGGGTGGGAGAGCGCTCCCTCCCACCCACGGTGCAGCCGTGGGGGGTCCCCGGGGGGATTGGGGGGGCAGGGCTGTCACAAGCCCTACACGCGCCCCAACCTCCCCTCCTTCCAGCCCCCTCCATCACCCCCAGACCCTCCCCTTGTCCCCTGTGGTTCCCCCGGTGCCACGGGACACAGGACATCGCCGCCGGGGGGGTCTGGGTGAGCCGGGGCCACGTGGCCCCACGTGAACCCCAGCTCGTGGGGTGCAGGGGGGAGGCCACGGCCTGGGCCCACGGCACCGCTCGGCGCCTGGAGCTCTGGGGGGCTCCCTGACGGCTCCTGGGGGTCCCTCTCCAAAGGGTGCCGGGTGCCCTGGGGGGGTCCCCCTTTGTGGGGTGCCCTGTATCCCCTGGGGTGCCCGGTGCCACACGGGGATGCCCGGTGCTTCCTTCCCCGGGGGTCCCGCTGCTCCAGAACCCCCGTTCCGGTTCCCCGGTGCTCCCAGCCCCGGGGCTAGCGCTGGCGGAGCCGCGCACCGGGGACGGCGGCGGCGGCGGCGGCCCCGGCTCCTCCCCGGCCGCGGCGGGAAGGCGGA